TTGTCTCCTTCTTATATTCAATGCATTCTCCACTTCACTCTTTCTTTTTTTTTCTTTCTCTCTCTCTCTCTCTGTTTTTAAGCACTCGCATTTGTTTCCGGAGTTAAGCGATACATTTATGTTATTTATTCGAATGCAATTGAAAGGCATAAGTTATGGCATATTAACAAATTTTTATTACATAATGTAAACCCGGTATGATACGTAATATGAGTTGATACTTTTCCAGCAAAACACGCACATACATTTTTTTAAGGATCAAATGGCCCCTTCGTGCGGTCGTTAAAGCCGAATTACATAAATTTATCAAAAAAAAAAAAAAAAAGAAAAATAAACTAATAAATAAATGAATGAAAGATAAAAGTAAACAATAACGAAGAAAATATTAAAAAATCTTTTGATTATGTATCACAACGAAACCCGCAAGTGAAAATCGCGATATTGTAACATTGTATGCAGGAAAAAAATAAGGATCGTATGAGCCCTTGTGGTACCTGTAGCGTTACAAAAAGCCTCGCAAACAAATAGACACGGTGTTGTAGAAGAACTTACTCTGTCTTACTTATTTGATTTTTACAGAATAATTTAAAAATTAAATGCAACAGCCTGAGGGACTTTGATTAGACTCCCATGATGACTTATATGAATAGACATGATTTACATATATATGTCAAATCGTCGAAGTGTTCATGCAGATGTGCAAAGTTGAGATTCGACTAAGCTTATGAAAATGGCGAACGGCCGCATATAGAGCCTCGAGGATGAATATTCGAATACAATTGGATGGTTGGGACATCTTGCTATAGGTTGAATCCTGTGAAACTTGTTATTTTTTGCTTTACTGCACCTAGAATGAGAGTTGCGATTAGAGCTTCCAACTCATGAAAATGGATTCAAGCTCACCGATCTTCTTATACAGAAAAGACGCCATGATATATTGAACGTGGTATTTATTATAAAATGAATTAAAGGCAAAGGTAACCTCTTCTCCGCTCTCCGCGCTTAACAGAGTTTCATCCCGACACATGCCTTACTGCCAAACGCAAACTAAGATCTTCGTAACACATCCCCAGTACTTTATAAGATAGATTTTACTGGTGTCATAAGCGATGCTGCCCTACGCGTATGCCGCTACCTGCCAGTTTACTGTTCTAATTTTGTTGCAAAAAATAAATTGATGCTATCTTAAACTTTCTAAACGATTGCGCTCAGCTCTGTTTCATTTCGGCTTCGGCCTTCTTCAATTACTTTATTTTAACATTTACAATTCATTCTTTCCTCTTAAGGCGTTCAATTACTATTCAAACGTATCGTGTATAGCTAAGGATATAGGCTGTTAAGTAAATACGAAACAACCAACAGATATAGCGGATAAGACTAGCATGCTGTGACCACCTGCGATAAGGATCTAATGTACCAAAAATTAAGAAACTAATCGAAAAAAGAAATTTTCTTTTATTTACATTCGAGTCGGATAAGCGAGAAATAAGGGCAAGAAAATGTACAGAATATCATATAGTTGACGCTGTACTTGGCTCAAAAAGAGCTAGGACTACAGGAGTATATTTTGCACAACAAAGTTCTTTAAGAAAAATGCAACTGATTTATTACGATCCGTGAGACGTGGTTTCATCAATACATGGTAGACGAAAATGACAACCAAAGCGGTAAATAACTGAAAAATGACGACCTTGGATAAAAAGAAGGAATACAAGTTGAAATGATGTCGCCAGTGCAAAGCCGAGTATTAAAATTTCAAAAATTATTCACTGTTGCCATGTTCATGAGCTAACGTAGTTCAAATTGATTAATTTGTAAAAAATCTTGCAATTCTTCATAAAGTGCTAAGAAGTAATATTTTTTTTCTCGTACAACAGCTTACTTCTCACAAGAATCATCCGGAGAGGTGACTAGAGGAGTCTACTTCACAGGCATTTACATTGAAACATTTATGTGTTCAAATACGGTATCATACTTGACTATAAAATAATAAAAATCAGACTTTAGTATCCTAGTCAGGTTTGCTCTTTGAGAGAGTCTTTAAAAAATATTATAATATTACTGTTTTTTATCGAGAGATATTAAGAATCGAAAATTTATTTCATATCACGATCTTTAAAAAATAAAACTCTTTTTGGTGTGATCCTCAGTCTAAGGCTTACAATCATTGTATCAAATTTACACAGAATATATAGATAATTACTCCCAGCAAGTTGAGCAGGAAAACATGCACAGAATATCGTTATAATTAAATCAATTTAGAAAATAATTCTAAACTGATTTGTGTACTCGTTTGTGTTGGGTGCTGCTTATATGTACACTCAAACGTAATATATTTCTATCGCAAATCATATCATCACGACGACTATTAAATGCCGTTCATCAGTTCGCTTAAGAGAATTATTCAATTAGATTACCCTTGATTACGCATATAATGGGCATGTGAAGACTGATTTCAATCCTTATGCGATTGCACTACATATAAACACTTATCTTTATACTAAATTGTTTACCTTAGCAAAATGCTTGTTTCCAACTGGCTTGACTATGATCTAATAACTTATGGCAATCTAATATAAACACTCCAAAAATTAAGCTCCTAAAAATTTATAAAATCTCCTGATACAGTGCATAAGCTACTGAAACTAAGAAGAAGAAGGTCATCGGCTTCTACGCAGATCATAACGCCTTCAGATACCACCCGAGAATCAGAGTCTGGAGCGAAATGTTCCATGCAAGGCCATCTGCAGAACCAAGTGTTTAATAGGATTCTTAAGAATGCAAAAATCTGTGTGGCTAGAAGCGTGGGCGGGTAAAATAGTTGTTTTAGGTGGCAATACAGATTGTCCCCACACAATAATATGAATGCTAATAATGAACGAAATAGCGGAAAATAAATATGCTGAGATTGCTTTACTTTGTATACAAACGCACAAACTGCAATACACACATGCTGATAATGGACATTAAGACATAGCAAACTTTCGTCATTTTGATCTGCAAAAGTGCAGTGAATAACTGTTGACCTGACTTTCCGTGTACATCTTCCTTATGTACTTAATTTCTCCCCCAAATGAATGATATTTGAAGAGATTCGCGCGATCAGCTGATTAAGAGGGCTTCAATAAAAAAATTCGTGTTGTTTTTTTCTTCGTCGTGTTCTTCTTCTTCTTCTTTATTACAACATTATTTATGCTATTTTTAGGTATTATTTATAACTACAAACTCTTACATATATATATATATATATATGAATGTGATATCATTTCGTTGATTATAATAATTCGGTTCATGTTTATTCATGTTATAAAGAGCAAGAGTTATGATTAGTGCGAAATTTTATTACTTTTCTCTTGCCTCATTTTAATTTTCTCTCTCATCGTCTTCGTATAGTTTATTTAATTTTTTTTATAACTTTGTAATTTAGGTTAAGAGGCTGAAGCTCAATATACAAAAGCGCATACACCTAAACACATGATACAACTGTTGATACGAAACGACAAAAAACAAAAAAACAAGAAAATTACATTATTTTCATGTTGTAAAAAAAAACCTTTTTTATTTTTTTATAGTTATTTCAAAAAGTTTTTAACAAAAACAATGCCATCCTACACCATTTTAGTTAATTTCTTATGATGATGCATAACACAATCATAAAAAAAATTGTTTCATTCGCACCTAATGTTATAGGTGTTTATTACTTCTTTATTACTTTTTAAGCAAAAACATATTTCCATTATTTCGTTTAAGGCGTGTGTGCTTGGTTGAATTATTCAGAGAGATTAACGTGTAATTATATGCCACTATTGTCGTGTTATTTGTAACAAACAATAATATATGCAACTGCATAGAGAGATTCAAATTTTTAAGATTTTGAAATAATGCTTTAGTCATTCGCATCCATCTGACCGAATAACTTCGAAAAAATTAACTATCAATTCATTCATTTTTGATTGCATTCCATGTTGAATGATTATATTTGAAAAAGAGGCCGTTCCACCCACTATAATAAATCGATAAATTATAACCTTGAAAAGAAATCAGAAATTGCGATCAATTGATTTCGGTTTATAACATAAGATCTACAACAGATATCAACGCAATAATTATTTGACATTTCAATTTACTTTGGCAAATTTCAACGTCACAGGTGTGCTTTAACAATTCTTTCTCATATAATCGTCCTTATGAAAACTGAGCACATATATGGCAACAGTGGAGGTAAACAATTACATTTAAGAAAGCGGTATGAGGCATTTAGTATTCGACAATGTTTTGTATTCAGCGATGAAAGTCGAGCCTAGGAAAGCATCATTCAGCAGAGGATTATGTCTGCTCTATTCTGAAATAAAGATAAGCTCACGCATTCTGAAGCGAGTAGCTTTAAGCAAACGAAGCTATTATTCGTTGTTGTATCGAAAACTATCGCGAAACTAAAACGTGCAATCTTTGCACACTCACTCACCCATCACTGCCAGTGCGTAATTATTGAATGAATATTGTCCGTAAATAGCGAGAGAAGTCTCAGCCTTTACTTACTGCGTACACCATGTATATCGTTCGACTGAATGCACGCAAGAAGAAATAGAAGAGAATTGGGCTAAAAATGAAAATCTCGCTATCTCATGTGTCTGTCTTCAAATCGCACTCCCGCCGATAATCGATTGTTTCAATCAATTAGTTGCGCATTTAAGCCGAAAATGAAGATGAACGGGAAGAGGACTCTCTTTAAATGATTTATGCCCCTTAGAATCATAGGTGTAATGAAAATAATTTTTTTTTCACTGCTTTGTTATTACCACATTGCTTTCCTTCACTTTGCAATTTGTTTTTCTCCACCTTTTTCCTTGCTCGTGCTGTGTTGCTAGTGCTCAATGTCTTTTTTTAGTCTAAGAATTTATTTCATTAGTCTAAAATTATAATAATAATAATAATAATAATAATAATAATAATAATAACAATATATTGAAATTCTCGCATTTGATCTTTTTAAATTTCAGTCAAGATGGTATTATGCCCATGATACCTTTGGGTTTAAAAGAAACAAAAGAAATCGATTTCATGGAACCATTTTCGGATTTCATACTTGAGCACTACAGCGAAGAGCCATCAATTTATTTGGATGCTATAGCTGATATAACCGATACCAGACAAGTGAGTACACGTATACCTATGGCATTTAAGATAATTGACAAATAATTTTCAAACTTTGAATTCCTTCATCTATTTAAAGGCTTCCAGGACTCCCTCACGCGACAGTCAGGGAGTAGCTTTACTCTTTCGCTATTACAATTTATTGTATTACGTTGAAAGACGTTTTTTTCCACCCGACCGAAATTTGGGTGTTTACTTTGAATGGTACGATTCATTAACAGGTAAGCAAACCGCTACTTTATTTTACTAAATTAGTCATAACGAAGGGAAAGGGGGCGGGGGCTTTCTCTACTCCAATAGCTAATCACTTCCTGTCTTATATGTAACAATGAAAAATTTTTATATTAAAATTTCAAAAAAAACTTGGATCAAGTAAGTCTATTTAGAACCATTCGTCTGTCTGCCTATGCAATGCTTAACGATTGCCATTTGACCTGACATCAAAGGATTTAATAATGTGCACTCGACAAATTGATTAAAGCCGTTCCGTCCGTTTTTCTCTCAATTTCTGTTTCAAGTCGTGGTTGTTTTGTCGTAAGTGGACAATAGATCGTAGACTGTCCGACCACTTGTTGTTTGAAATGTTAGTCAGGCAAAATTTGCATTAGATCGGCTATAAAACTAATTGCTTTTTACGAAAGGCATATATGCAAATAAACATGGCTGACTCTTAAAATAATATTTAAATGTTTATATGAGCGTCCGTTTGCTGCTTGAAGTGAGCGTCACTCACAATTCAACTTAAAGTGAATATAAGTTTCTTTCTTGTCTCGCATTATAAAAAAAAAAACGCGTGCACTTAAGTCAGTAACTTTCGATTTTTCAGGAGTACCTTCGTGTCAGCGTACCATAGCTTTCGAAAAGGCTTGCACTTTATTTAATTTGGGTGCCATCTATACGCAAATTGGCGCCCGTCATGATCGTTCTACGGAGAAAGGCCTTGACGCTGCCGTTGATAGTTTTCTACGTGCCGCCGGCATCTTTCGGCATATTTACGACACCTTCACCAATGCACCGTCCATGGATTTGAAACCGCAAGTCTTAGACGTCTTGGTCTCATTAATGCTGTCACAAGCTCGCGAATGTCTATTCGAGAAATTGCAATTACAAATCGAATCGTTAGGTTTAACGGAATCAAGTCATGTAAGTTTTTCACGTTGCTAGTTGAAATCATTCGTTCGAGCGAATACGAAATTTTTTTTTGATTGTGGATGATGATCCTAATCTAATATTAATTGTTTGTTCTACGCCATTATTATTATGGCTTAAATCAAATAATATTAAAAAAGAGTTCTTCCATTATTCTGTAACTCAATCAAAATGAAAAACTAATTTAATTTTTTTATTTAATTCTCTTCTTTTTTTTTTTTTTGTTTTTATTCTTTTTTTTATTCACTATATAAAGCTTTTCAAAGATTTAGCTGGTGAAGCAGCACAACTAACATACGAGTACAATGAAATGCACAAAAACATACAAATGAATGATACCCATACATATCTGCCTGAATGTTGGGCTGGTCTAGTGCCACTCAAAGCTGAATTCTATAAAGGTGAGTCTTCGCTTGTGAATGCTTTATTCTAGATTTGAAAAAAGAAAAATAAATAAAAAATTATAGTCGATTTAAAACGAATCTGTTTTTAACTAATGTCTGTTTTTTGCTTTTCTTCAAAATTTGAAGAAAATGCCCAAAAAACGTACGTTGAAATGCTCCAAACGTGTTATGCTATATAAGCAAAGACATTCATACTGAGCTTTGGTTGTGACTTCTTTAGGATTAGAATTACTAAACATAAATATCATACTGTTAAAGTGTCCGGTGTTTTCAAAAAATAGGCGGACAAACAAGCTAACCAGTCTGATCTAATCAGTTAGATTTGTACATTCTACCAACGCATACTTGTCAACAGATCTTTTAGCGACCGATCGATTTAGTCAATTTTTGAACTTGACAAAGCTGAAAACGGAGATTTTGAAGATCGGTTTAATGTTTCAGACAAATCTTTAAGCCTGCGTAATTACGATTTGTTTAGGCAGATGGACAGGCAGACAGACAGACAGGCAGAGTTTTAATCTTTTTGTGAACTTTGCATTTTGCTTGATGAAGATGAGAAAAAGAGAAGAATTTAAAACTAAGTAAAGCGTCTTGGATAAAGATTCGAAATGATTGTTAGTAGGTGTGGACATTTTATCCTTAAACTTTCGTTCTACTAGCGGGCGAACTTGTCGTTTTCTTCAATGTAACGATTTCCGCACGGGACTATCGTAAAGAAAAGGAATTGAAAACCAAGTGTACCAATTAATTGAATTGAAATTTTTGCCCCAAATGTCATGGTGATTTCCTTAAGAAGAAGAGCATCTTAGTTTTAATTTTCAAGTCGAAATTTTATCATAATGTTCATCGATGTTACACAATCTGAGCAGAATAAATTATGTCAAGTCAAGCCGGCTGCTTTGGACACCTGTTTCGAAATCACGATATGTGTATACGGAGACCAAGAGAGACACATACAAACATTTCATTCCCCTCTGCTAAGCAAATTAATAAAATCGCGGATGCTTACACAAACATTTGACAAACTTAATATACATGCTGTGGTAGGTACATAAACAGAAAAGTTATTCAATGCAATGACTTGGCTTACATGTGAACAAAATTGTTAATTTATACTTTGCGAAAAATAATAAAAAAAAAGTAAATAAATAAAAATAAAATAAAAAAAATCTATCAACGATGTTAACATGAAATGTTTATTCTCTCTTTTTCATTCTCATTCTTATTCTCATTCTCACTCTCACTCTTTCTCTTTTTCCCATACGAAATTACGATTTAGCTTTGGCTCATCACTATGAAGCACGCAGTATAGATATCAACGCCGACAAAGCATCGCTGAGTACCAAAAAGTCACAAACCGCCTCCAATGAATCGTTTATTGGTAATGCGAGGGAGGCTATGCGCGCTGCTGCTGCCGCCAACGATGACAACGATGAGGATAGCATTAGTTTGCCAGCTTTAAAACGAGCTCACCTTAAAGAAGCTTTAGCTAGTCATGAAGAATCGCAACGTTTGCAGCGCATGTGTCGTTACTTAAAGGTGAGTTAGATATTACGTCTAAATGTTTCTGCGTGTAAATGTAAGTGTATATGTCTTGCGTAAAAATTTCTTTGAATATGTAGTAATGGTTTGAAATCAAGAAAATCCCTTTAAATCGAAACAAAATCGGTTTAGTAATTACAGTGCAATTGCGTCGAACAATCTTAACTGTTATCGTAGAAAAATCACGTTCGTCGCATTAAAGCTTCAGTAAGAATCGAAAATATTTATTAAGAAACTGCATGCAAGGATGGGAGGGCAAATCCCTCAATGTTAGAGAGAGATTTACTCATTTGCCGAATAGAAATTTTCAAATCTACAGTGCATCTCGGTCTCTTATGAAATTAACACACAAAGAATATAAAATTTACACTCACACCGCCTAACACTTGGGTGTTAGTTAACATGTTGTCTTTATTCGTATTGATGTTGTTGTCGGTGACAGTGATGGCATATGACGATGACGATGGCTATGAACGTGTTGTTGATTCGATAGCTAAAGCAAAAATTAAACAAAACATTCTATCTATCTATGGTCATGCTATGTGAAGCATGCAACCATCCATAAAGGGCAACAATAGCAATAGCAATAGCAACATCAACATCAACATCAACATTAACATCAACATCCACATCATCCACACAACCCGATAATATTTTCTTTTGTTCGTCGCTTATTGTTGATTTTACTATATAGGCAATGTATACGATTTATTTTGTTTGTTTGCTGTGTTTTTGCTGTGATTGTTTTCGTTGCAGTTTAATGCAGCTGCATAGCGAAAGCATTGATTTAATGCCACTGGGTGTTCCTTCTTTGCCTATACAGCCAGCCGAGCCGAGTTAACCTCATACAATTTCACTAAACGCTTTATGTATAATTGACAACATAGTACAAATTAAACGCCCCACACACATAACATCTATCCATTTACGCTGATATTGTGAACGATGCAGATGATGCTTTGTTGATACTTTTTCTTCCTGTTTTCGTACACAAGCACTTATTTATTTATTTATTTATTTTTTGCAAATCTCTTGCAGAACAAAATCGCATTGGCCCAAGTCATTAAGGAGGCTCAATACAAAACACAAGATGAGTTCGCGAAATTCTGTGAAGAAATACCGGAAAATGAAATCGATGATATATATGATGTCATTGATGTACAAGTTGAAGGTTGGTAAAGCTTCAAATGAAAAATGAATATAAATTTAAAAAAAATTAATTTCGAATTTTTGTGTTGCTTTGTTGTTGTTTGTTTTTTCTTTTTTTTTTTGCTCCCCTTTTCCTTTTTCCTTTCTTTCTTCTAAAGGCTGCTCCAAGTTTACTATGTCTTTAACCGGTCCCGATTTTACTTCATACAAGATAGAAGATCCTTTTAAACGTCTTGGCCCGATTGCTATATTTTCGGCTCGTCGCCACTGGACTGCACCACGTTGTGTACGCTTGCAGAAAGGCTCTATCGGTTATCATGATGTCTCGAACAAAGCCCTTGCCGCCAGCGCTACGGCAACAGATTGTCACTGTCATTGCGCAATAACAAGCGATGGTCAAGAGCTGCCTTGCTGTCTGCTTAAAGATGAAATTGAAAGTTTTGGTTTCCATGTGCGCGGAGATGCTCCAGTTATTATATCGCATGTAGAAATAAATTCTTTAGCTGATGTAAGTAATGCAATCTCAATAATGAAGCGGCAAAATCTGACAATTGTGTTGTTTCTAACTTCATAGTTGGGCGGAATTAAAGAGGGCGATTTTATAGTGGAAATCGCTGGCATTGACGTTAAATGGTATTCACATCAACAAGTTGTTCGTTTAATACAATCATGCGGCGCAACCTTAGAATTGAAGGTTATCACACCCATGGATCGGAATTACTTAAAGGTAAAAAAAAGGTTAAAGGTCAATGAAAACTAATTAAATGAACAACTGCACTGTTTTTTCTGCACTAAGACTGATCTCAGCGATTTAATCAAATCATCTGACTTGACATCGCTAACGTTTAAATTGCGTTCAGATCATTAAGTTATTAACATTAACATCACCGAAATTGAGATTTCTTGTTGATTTCACATGATGTTTATGTAGGAATAAATTTTGATTTCAGCTGAATCTACAGAAATGGTCTCAGTTTGAACAGACTTTTTGAGGGCTTTTAGTAACATTGAAGTGAGTTACTTTGTTAAGGGTATCGCTCAACAATAGCCATTTGCTCACTTCTCTTTCATGCAGAATATGCATTAGATGCGAAGGCGAAAAGCTATTCTTGAAAGAATCTAAATTTTGTGTCGTCATAAGAATCGAGACAATGTTCGAATAAAGAATAAGTCATCTACTGAAACATATGTTAGTCGGAAGCAGTAATGTTGGCTGATAAAAGCGGGAAAAATACGAAATTATAGATTAGAACTGCAAACCCTTCCTAAGCGAATTTTGCTATATGGGATCGAATTTCTTTATACTGAATACTCAGGATAGACTCAGACTTTCCAAACATATTGGCTCCCTTTTTTCGTCCCAATTGCATCATTTATTGTTGGTAGCTTTCCCTAACATGCTTGGAACAGACTATAATACCATGCCCAGCTGATCATCATCAAGAGGGCCGCCATGTATGTTCAGCTTTATCGTCAATAGTTAATAGCTGCCTGCTCTGAATAATGGGTAACGTATCCGTTGCTCATGACTTGAAGGGATTTAGGGGCCCAACACTTTGAATTATGCCGGAAAAGCAAAGTTTCTTACAAATAACATTTTTTCCGGCACAGAGAACTACACCTATTCCAAGTTCCAATAAGCTATGTTGTCCCAGCTTCAGTGTAATAACCAATAAATTTATGCGTTTCAAATGAAGAAGCCACAGTTTTATTCAGCACCCTACAATACGACTTACCTTTGAAAAGAGGTGGAGTCATATTCGCACACCCAATAGATAATCTTACGGAGGTAACAAACACTGATATACAGCACCTGAAAAAATTTCCACACAATTTGATCTCGCCGAATTTTAAAGTGTATTTTGAGTTTGTGCTTTTCATGCGAATGCTTAAAATAATTAAAAATACAAAAACAGTTTGCTTTGCATAATTTTCTCGACCACTTCCCGTATCACGCTTTATATGAATAGCTGCAGATTCGTGTAAGGTGTTTAACGATGGGCCGCGACTCACTACAGAGTTTTTACTTGTATTCTCCGATAATTATGTTAACATATTTTGGAAAATATTCTCCAAAGACAAAAATACACAACCAAGGCTGACATCTACGAAGGTCGAGACATTATGTATAAATAAATAAAGTTTGAATTAACGCATAGCCGAGTAGGTAAAAATCGCGGCGACCAAGTCAGTGTTCGCTAATTCAGATCTTCAAGGCTGTAGAGGTTTCATCTTTAGTCATAGTTATAGTGCGTGCTTAGTCGGTACAGACATAACGCTTACCAATTGGGCGCACACGCGCTAGGCTGCGGCCACCACTTCCCTCCATTTCTTTCTCTTCCTTTATTGCTTTATGACTGTAACCGCCTTACACGAAAACGGAGCTTCCAGGTCCACTTATTCTTGGATACTGTCTAGCAAGTGTTCGTTAACTGGCACGAAACTACGTTCTCTGCATAATTACCTATGTTCCACTAAAGAAATATTTCTTCACTACGACATGAATTTGAAAATTAAAAAAAGGAAAAAAAAATTTTTAATTTTTTTAATTTTTTTTGTTTTTCTAACATGTTTTAATTACACCACTGTTCCCTTTTTAATTTTTTTCCTAAAGCCACTATCGTCAAAAGGTTCCATATCGACGTTATCGGCTGCGAGTTCATCGGGTGTTTCCTCCGGCTCATCCAGTCCCACTGGTACAACAACCAAGCCCAAGTTACGTTGTAAAACTTCGACAAAGGCTCGTTTGGGCAGTGTTTCATCGACATCATGGAATCCGTTCCGTCGTACACCAAGCTTAGCAAAAATATTTTAAGTTTATAAAGAGACGTTTTTAAGAAAATTTTAAACGAGTGGCCATTTAAAAGAAATTTTTATTTTAATTAAAAGAAAAGGTAAATATTTAGAGCTTTTCTTTCTCTTTCCACTTATATTTTTCTTTTTATTATTTTACATAAGTTATCACTTTTGTGTGTGGTCAAGAAAGCGGGCGGGGAGTGGTTAAGTAAAATAAGCACACATATATATATATATATATATATATATACACATATATTATATATAATATATATATATTACACAATATCGTATTCGTAATTAAAACAAAGAGTTTTATGAGACATATATCTGTATTTATATACATAAAAACAAATGTCACAAATGTATAAATTTTCTATTTGCAAAAAAAGGAAAAAAAAAATTGTATAATATTCGATGGTCTTTTAATAAATTTTGTATATATTTTTTCATATTTTGAAAAAAAAAAAAAGTTGTGTTTTTAATTAACTTCATATATAATATGTGTTCAATTAAATTTATTTGTGTTGAAAAGCGCTTGAAAAAAGATCTCGCAAGGTTTTCCGAGGAAAATCTTTTTTCACATATTTTCGAATTATTTTATCAGGTTTAACTTCGTCATAGATTCGGATTCGATTCCTTGGATTCGATTTCAGTTTTAATAACACTATTATATGTTCATAATTATTCACATCGTATATCGTACAACACGTACAACTCAATATCGCGGATTATCGAACATCGGAATCTTCTTGAAATGCGAGTAAGTTTTATTCACGGATCAAAAGCTTAACGCATGCGTGTACGTGTATGGAGCACTATGTCCACTGTGTGTAGTATATACGGTATATACGGTACGCTATTCTTACGACACACCTTGGAAAAGTGAACCGGAAAGAATGTCAACATTTCATCGGCATTTAGTTTCAGTTTAACTTATAATGCCTGATATCAGGTCCAGCCTAACACTTATGGGTGATACTGGTTGGAAAATGAAAAATGTTAGCTGCATGAAACTAAAGCGAATACAATCCGGTATTCGTTCCTTCTTCACTTTGCACCTTTGTTTTTCGCAGCATTAAATTTCTTCTTTTTCAGTCTTTCTAAAGCTTATGTATCTTTTCTTTTGCCCTTTTGTTTATCATAAATAATTTTTAGTAGAATTATACGTGAAGTGTTTCTTTCTTGTAATTTTCGCTATAAAAGAAAATAAAATAGAATACGCAGATTACATAAGCAGTAAAGAAGAATAATTAATTTAAGATTAATCGGATTAATAGGATCAGTAGGTTCTCAGTTATTAACCGTATTAAACCTTATCTTTATTATTCTGTGCAAGCTTTTATACGCACCACCGTAGGTTGAGCAGTACATTCATAAAGGTTTATACATTTTAAGCGTGTCCATGTGTCTGTCTGTTGCAAACCCTCTACGCACGCGGGTTGCTATTAAAAATTAACCAAATCGGTCGAAAGGCCGAAGCGTACAGTACCGCGTAAGCTGAGAACATCTCCGCTTTTCAAAAGGCATAAAAAATTGGTCTTTTGCTCATCACTTATAAACAGCAAAAGCAAAATCGACAAAAACTTGAACATATATTCTATCGGTGATGGTGTAACACCTCTGCAAAAATGCGAATAGCTTTACATTTTCATCCGAATGTGTCGGGGATTAAAAGCTCACATTATTGAATCATTGATTTTGTTTAAAATTCGTAGAGAATTATTTGCAGCAGATTATATTTTTATATATATTATTTCCATGCTTCAATGCCGGAATTCTGCGTTCGAATGTCACGAGTCAACTTCGTTTGCCTTAAGCAAAGGCTCTGCTTATAAACCCTTTTGCAAACAATGTGTTACCAATAATACTCACGTCTAATCCTATTCTAATCAAATTCCTTTATTCGGCGAGAATTTGCTGTGATTTGTTGTTAATTACCAGGCTTGGGAAAAAAAGTGCAGAAAATGCCTCGCGCACCGCGTTCAAAATAACTAAATATTCTCCGCTTGGGATTTTACATTTTCATCTATACACGTACAAAATTCAAAAGGTACCCATATTTATAGGTATTGCCCTGCAACTGCAGCATCGCGGACTGGTTGGTTAATCCGAAGTTTAGAAATTTTTTTCTCAGCAGATACGTTAACAAAAAAAAACTGCACGCAGGTTAACAAAAAATCTGTTCCGCCATCTCAAGTGCAACGAGCAAATGATTTTAGATATGTGTTTTGTCGATTCACTAAAGGAAAAAAGAAAATCCAACAGCAAAGTAGCGGATAAACTAACCAACACTCTGGAGAATGCGTAGATATATTCGAAAACTCAAAATCTTCTTCTTATTTTGGAGCAGCTCGTCTCGCATACTTAATCAAAACACCCGCACACAAGTCATTATATCACAGCGGTAATAAGAACTTCAAATTTGATTGTGTGCCATTTCTGAACATATTCACTGACTTGACCTTGAGCAAACGGATCGTAAGTAATAAACAATTTGCTAGCTGAAAGACAAATACATGGCTTGCTCTACGCTTTATCTACAGATTCACTTGGGACTACTTGCGATTACTACAATTGCAGTCGTCTAGAGCGTGCATTCGTTATTGCGGTCTCATCTCATATCATATGATCATATATCCATTATATGCCAAAAAGGACAGGCTCCTGATTAATAAAATACCTTACCTAATTGACGGTTGTGGTAAAGCAAGAGCAACAATAGTAAAAAACATTTCCTTTCATCTTTTAAAGACTTTTCTCCAACAATCTAGGGATTATTTCGGGCACCAGATGCGTAAAATAAAATTTTCCGAAGAGACAATTGAACATTTTTAGCATCTGATAGCCCTTCGAGTTTAATCGACTGTGCAACGGGACGGTACGCACGCACACTGGGTTATCAGGGTTGTGCACGCATGATTTCAAAATCGAAGAAAGGCCGTTTTAAATTCGCCTACATATACCGCTCTGGTCGAGCTGGCGATTTCCATGACATCTTAAAAGATTTTTGAAAAACATAATGGTCAACACACACAGCGAAACCAATGAAAAAAAAGAAAAAACACGACAGGCTCGCAGTTGGAGAAATCTTCAATATGAAATCGTGTTGCTTTTCTTCCAAATGAATCAAACGCAGTCGAGGTTAAGCAAACAGATCTTGGACGACTCGCCTAAGTCAAGGTAAGAATGCTAAGACTTGCGTTTGATGAGAACAGAATGTTGGAATAGGAAAAAAAATAAACCAACTCAAAAACTTCTAACAATCCAATTGCATCGAGTAAGTGAGACGGACTGCAGGCTTAAAAAAGAAAACCTCATTAAGAAGATTCGGCTGCGTGCCTTCGCTGGGTCGTATATTACGGCATCTCGTATGGAAGTTTTTAGAATTACTCTCTCCGCACCGACAGCTTCACTAGCAGCGATGAAAGGCGGTGTTGTCATCTAACCATTGTTGACAAGACAACAACAGCAAATCGATCAACAAGTCAAGCAAGTGTAAGTGATGGTTTTTAATTTACTTGTAGAAAATTACTGTTAACTTCAGTTAACCGACAGAGGTATGCCAAGCGTTATCCCCAACTGTTATCCGATTCTTTTTGAATCGAACCCAAAGCAACACCACACAGAAACATGAGATAAAAAGTTCTATAAGCGGCGTCCTTTCGTGAGAAGCTCTATTTGTCTTGTAAACGTGAGCTGCACATTACTTACCGTACAATACAAGCCGAAAATTTCAAACACTATCACTATCGATGTCTATCGATCAAATATTGTAAGGTGGAGGCACGTTTTTTTTTTTTTAAAAAAAAATTAAAAAAAAATTAAAATAAAAAAAAAAAAATTTTAACAAAAAAAAAAAAAAAAAAAAAAAAACAAATGAAATTAACAAAAGTAAATAATTAAAAAGAAAGTAGTAAATAGAATTTTATAATTTATAATATATTTAAAAAATTCATTACAATTTATTGAAAATATATATAAATAAAAATTTTTTACATTAATAAAAAACAAAATACGTATATATATATAAATATATACATATATATATATATATTATATATACATATAGATATACATATATATATATATACATACATAATATATAATATAAAAATAGAGGTTAATAATTAAAATTAAAATATGTCTGTAAATATATTTTATGAAAAATTGTGTATACTTCATATATATTAATAAAATGCATTAAAAATTTTCTCTCACATTTAAATTTTATTATAATTCTTTTTCTTGTTTGTTATTATTTGTTAATAATTGTTTTTTTTTTTCTTTTTTTTTAATATATATTTTATTAATCATTCATTCATTTCTTTTACACGTGACATAATGTATTTTTTTTTTTAATATTATTTTTATTGTTTATTAATTTTATTAATTTCTTTTTTTTGCTTTTTTTATTTGTTTAAAGTTTTATCAGACATAATAAAGATATTAATAATGTAATGTAGTAGAGTTATATAATTTTTGTTTTTAATGTAAACTTATCAGCTAAAACACACATTTATAAGATTATTAATATAGATTTATTATTAAGATTTTTTTTTGTTTTTTTCTAATACACTTGTATAAACATTTATGAAAAAACAAAACATAAATTGTTTTTTGTTGTTTTCTTAAAAAATGCTTCTAAAAATCTTTAAATAGATATTTTTATTGTTGCTGTTCAATTTGGGTTCAGATTTCTATACATACATATAAATATATCTACATAGATATATAGATATATACGTACATATACATTACATATATATACATATGCACATATATATATACATATATATATATATATATATACGTAGTATATATGTATATGTAGTTTTATGTAGTGTTAGTAATTCCAAGGGTTTCTTTTCGTTCATTTGTCCATTATGTTATTATTGTAGGCTTTCTTTTTTTTTTAATTTATAATACTGAAAATACGACTAGACATTTATGTATAAATATAGATACTTTTATTTTTGTTTCTATTTTTTTTTTAATTTTTTTAAAATTTTTTTTTTTCTTTCTATGTGTTTTTATACTTCTCGTGGGGTTAATTTTTAATGTTATTATTGTGT